AGGGAGGAGAGGAGGGAGGAGAGGAGAAAGAGGGGAGGGAGAGGAGGAAAGAGAGGAGGGGAGGGAGGAGAGGAGAAAGGGAAGGGAGGAGGGGGAGGGAGGGGAGGGAAGAGAGGGGAGGGAGGAGAATAGAGGGAGGGAAGAAAAGGAGGAGGGGAGGGAGGAGAGAAGAAAGAGGAGAGTGGGAGAAGAGAGGGAGGAGAGGAGGGAAGGGAGGGAAGGAAAGGAAGAGAAGGAAGAGAGGGTCTCGCTCACTCCCCATAACGCTGCCATGTGACCTCCCAGCTAATCTCTTGCCATGGGGCAGTGGGCCGTCACTATTCCGTGGGCCGAGCCCAGTTAGTGAAGCAATTCATTCCCACCTCGGGTGCTGGCCCCTACCACTGGCACGGGGCCAAGGTGGTCTGCAGGCCTGTGTTTGCTCCCATTCTGAGCCCTGCACCCCAGAGCCCAGAGCCTTTGTGGCAGAGGGGAAGGGGGCAGGGAAATGCACCCAGCTCTGCCTCCAGACTGTGCACTGGGGCCCCGGAGCCGACAGGTGGATCTTCGCTGTCTTCAGCCTCATCCAGGCTGGTGGGCTGACGAGGGACAGCCCACACTGGCTGCTCTGGCCACCACAAAGAAAGGAGGCAACAGGAGGAGGGACGGGCTCCCAGTGCGGTGAGGCCCTCGAGGGTTCACGGCCCAGTCTCAGCACAGCTCCTCAGGGCCCACTGGCAGGAAGCAGGCTGCAGCACGGCAACACCAAAGCCACCAGCCTGATCATGCTATCATCTTGCGACCGACAGAGCTAATGCAGGAGTTAATGCTTTTCAAAATGGCTGGGTACTTGTGCGGAGCCACACACCGGCAACATCTGTAAGCCCACGTGCCACAGAGACTCCAACTCAAACTGCCATGAGCTCTGAGCTGATCGGAGAGCCCCATGGTGACCTGTGGACCTTTGCTGCCTTGTCCCGCCCCAGCTCAGGGCCTGATCCCACACTGCTCCTTCATAATTCTTGGCGTTGGCCATGCTGTTGCCTTCGCCTGGAAGCCTGCACCATCCTTCAAGAGAAAGCCTGCCCCGATCTTCGATTTTTTTTTGGTTTGGTTCGTTTTGGTGGAACCGTGAATTGAACTCAGGCCCTTGTACTTGCCAGGGAAGCACTTATTCTACTGAGCCATCTCCCTGGCCCCTTGCCCCTCATCTTTTCTCTTTTATTTTTTCCCACTCCTCATCTTTTCTGAAAAGCCTTCCCTGATACTACAGGAACAGTTCAGTGCACTGGATTTTTCTTTTTTGTGGTGCTAGAGATTGAACCCAGGCTTCACGCATGCCAGGCAAGCACTCTACCACTGGGCTACATCTCTATCCCTTTTTACTTTATTTTGAGGTAAATCTTGTGGAATTGCCCAAGGCTGGCTTCAAACTCATGATTCTTCTGCCCACCCCTGTAGAACACATGGGATTAAAGGTGTGCACCGCCGTGCGTGGCCAAGTGCCCGGGCTTCTGCGTCATAGCCCCATCCTTCTGGCCTTCTGTGATGCACTCAGCCTGCTGTATGGGGGTGACCCTGTGATGCCTCCCTTCCTCCAGTACGGTGCATGCATTGAGTGTGTCTCACCTAACCCTGATGCCAGATTCTAAGAGCAGATTTCAAGGACAATCTCGGGCCTGGGATATGGCTTAGTGGCACAGCGCCTGCTTGGTTGGCACAAAGTCTTGAGTTTGATTCCCGGTACCAAGCAAACAAAGCTAGGAAACTATCAAGTACGGTCTTAATATTTAGCAGCTCTTCCCCTTTACAGCTGAATCCCCTTTCCCCAGCAGCTTTGGCCTTTTCCTTTGTTAATTTCCCCACTTCAGGGCCGGGGAGTTAGCTCAGTAGAATAAGCGCTTGCCTGGCAAGCACAAGAGCCTGAGTTCAATCCCCGGTTCTGAAAAAAAAAAAAAAAAAAATTCCCCACCCCTTGAATGGCTGACTTTGTGACTTGTTTTGAAGCTTCTGGACAACACGGAGCCTGATAGATGGCCTTTTACTTTAAAAAGAGACAGCTGGGGCAGGTGAGGTAGCTCTGCTTAGACCATGGTGGATCCTCAGGACCGCATGCCTCGTGAGCCCCGCCCCCTGGGTGGGCTAATTTGAACACAAAAAAGAAAAGAGACTGAGGCAGAAGGGACGCTGTGCCCATTTCAGCAGCGCAGGACGCAGAGGCCCCATGGCTCACTCTTGCGCTCCTGTGCCCAAGAGCCCCATCATGCAGGTAGGGAGGAGACAGACCGCGGAAGGACAGAATCACCCTGACAGATGTCCAGACGGCCGCCAGGTGACACAGCCCTCAACTGCCACACACACACACACACACACATGCGCGCGTGTGTGCGCGCGTGCGAGGGAGCCCCAGCCCAGAACAGGGGAGCCGGGGCCATCAAAGCAGCCCAGGGAAACCCAAACTGCCATCCTCATACTCGCGCCGCTGTCAACTGGAGGTGCCAGTTATCATTCCGTTCCGGATTCAGTGAGCCCAAATAAATCTGGAACTCAGGAGGAAAAGAGAAGGAGGAGGTCCCAGAATCCTGATCCACCGCCCAGAACCACCAGGGGATTCGGACAGCCTGGCCTCCTTCCCACCCTCACCAGGGACACATTTACCTCCTTCTTCGCCCGCGAGCAGGATCGGCTTTTCTCAGCCTTTCTCAGGGTCTGACCTGTAGTGGTTCAAAAGCAGAGGCAGAGATTGAGGCTGTTTGGGAACAGCAAGTTTGTCACCGCAAAAGCTTTTTATTTGCAAATTGAGTAGACAGGACCAATCATAATCAAATGATTTTAAGAAAATGTAGCTTATTATTATAATGGGGCAGTGGCACACATTCAGAATAGACCAATGGGCAAGGAACACGGCAATTCATACACTCCCGTTATTTGACTACAATGAACAAAGCTCCGGCCCTTTAGTCTGGAGCATTATCTGCACTCTCAAAAGGGCTGACGGATTGTAGTTTTCCCAGCTGAATTACATTTCTATTAAATTGTTTGGAATTATATAAAGTGCCTTCCACAAAAACGGCTGCCACTGTGCTCACATGCATAAACTGCGGAGCGCGGACCAACATGCTGCAGCAAGCCCCCACCCCGCCCGCGGCACAGGTGATGGCGCAGATGTGAATTAGCGGTAATCGCCCGCATTTCACATAATGGGCAATTTCAGAGAGAACTGTCGCTTTTCTCAAACCTGAGGACTAGTGTTTGAAAGAATGCATAAATTCAACAGAGACATCACAGTGTTGAAATACGCTGTTGCGAGTGCAGTTTGCACAACTTTTATGGACTGTCCACTGTGAAAGAATTCCTAGATGGGAGATTAGCAGGTTGCTGTGGAGCTAAATTATACAGCTGGCGTCCCACGCATTGTCAGTGTGGCTCCTAAGCTGCCTGAGCTCACTCCCAAGTGGCTGGGTCACAGCCACAGGTCCCAGTAGGCAGAAGCTCTCCTAGAAGGCAGGAGCAAGAAGAGCCACAAAATAGCTCCGGGCAAGAGACAGGGAGCAGCCTCAGGGGAGAGACTTTTGTCTTTGGACTGAGAGGCCACAGAGAGGAGACCAGAGCCTGCGATGAGGTCCAAGGGTGGACGCTCCTGAGCCTTTGGCTGTAGGCAAACTCTGGGGCCGACTGCGCATGGAGGGCGGCTGGAGAGCGCACACGGGAGGGTGTGGACCGCGTGGCATCGCAGTGAAGTGTGTATCTTTTCCATTATCTGATGCTACAGCTTGGCGCTCTGGTGGCCTCCAACGGCCCGTGTGCTGAAGGCCTGAATGCCACGCCATGACGCTGGTGCAGGTAGAAGAACAGGAGGAGGTGGCACACAGTGGAAGGAAAAGAGGTCACTGGGAGCCTGCTCTTGCGGGGGACCGGGGGGCCCCTGGGCTCTTTCGCTTCCTCTGTCTTTCATTCTGACCATGAAATGGCTGGCTTTGCCCTTATGTGCTCCCCTGGTTTCTTTTTCTTTTTTTTTTTTTCCTTTTTGTGGCACCAGGGATCAAACTCAGGATTTTGTGCTTGCCAGGCAGGCACTTATGCCACTGGGCTACATCCCTAGCCCTACGTGCTCCCTCTGGAATGTGCTGCTTTATCGCAGGCCCAAAAGTACTGGGCCAACTTACCGTAGGCTGGAACTTCCAAAGCCCAAATAAACCTCCTTTCCCGTCGGTGATCTCAGGTATTTACTGTAGTACAGCACATCCACTCAGCTCAAGGTGACACGACAGTCCCTGTTCCTTCCCTCCTCTCCCGTCTGCAGGGCAGGACCTAGGGCAGTCCTGAGTGTACCTCCCCCTGTGCCCCAATCCTCAGTGCCCCTCTGGGAGTGAATGCTCCAGCCACAGCCAGTCAGAAGCCCAGCCCAGGACTATGGAACTGGTTTGAGACAGAAGAGAGAGGCACAGGGCTAAACCCAGGGGCAAGCTGTGACACTGTGCACAGGCATCAGGCACCGGCTTTGAGGCAGACTAACCAAAATACAGAACAGCAGGACAGAAGAACTGGCCTGAAGTTGAGCATGTGCCCGCCTTTGTTACCTAGAGACACTCACTCAGAAGTACTTCCACTTCATATGCTTCATTTTTCACCTTAAGACAAAGAACCTAAGATTTCAGGGGGGCCCAGAGCAATGTGCCCCTGGGGTGTGGGGTGCTGACAGTGCAGAAGGTTGTACGTGCATGTAGGGGCTATTTGGGAACTTCATGCTTTCTGCTCGGTATTGCTGTCAGCTTAAGGCTGCTCTAAACATAAAGTCTATTAATTGAAACACATACAAAGGGCTGGTGAGATGGCTCAGTGGTCTAAAGCACCTACTTAGAACAAGCTTAGCAAAGCACAGGGACCGCGGTTCAATCCCCAGCACCACATGCCAGCCAGCCCGCCCCCTGGTGGACTGAGCTGGACACACACACACACACACATACACAAATAAATAAAAATTAAAAGAAAGAAAGAAAGAAACACATACACAAGAGTCCAGGATATCCCCCCCTGCCCAACACTGGGAATCAAACTCAGGACCTCACACTTGCCAGGCAGGCACTGTACCACTGAGCTAAACCCCCAGCTGAGAGTCCAGGATCAGGGGTCAGGAGATCTGGTCATCGGGCCACACTAAGCATGGCATCCTGAAGCCTATGTTGTAGGGCACGGGCTAGAAAGACCCCTCAGCTACACGGCTCTGGTTGCCAGCCCCAAGGCTGGGATGCATCAGGCAACCAGTCAGTCAGTCAGTCCACACAGCAGAGCTGGAAGGAACAGTGCAGGCTGCAGGCCAGGGCTGCTGACCACAGCCCAGTGACAGGAGCAGCGCCACAGCAAGTGAGACACTGGAGTGCCCAGCAGGGACCAGGGCCAGGGCAGGGGGATGCAGCCAGTCCAGGGGCCCACACGGCTGCCCAGGTCTGGGCGAGGCCCTTCCACTGCTGCTCAGCGACTTCTAGGGATCGGGTTCTGGGGACAGCTGACCAGCAGAAAGGACTTTAGGTGGGTCACTGAACTGCTCGGGGCTGTGGCTACCACCAATTTCACCAATTTAATGGAGAGTTACACTGAACTATTTCTGGGTTTGCTTCCCATCTCCTAAAATTCTATCATACCAATAAAACGCAGAAAAAAAAAAAAAAAAAACAGGACCCATGAAGGTAGACCATAAAAACAAAATATTAATGCAAAGAACACAGCTGAAGTACTGATATTAGAAGGCAAATCTCTCTACTGGAGTTAATGAGAAGCATCAGTATTCATTAAATTGGAAAATAATTTGCTTATTTTCTGATGAAGATAACTTGCTCTAATTACGAGCATTTGTTATCTGACCTCCCTCCAAAACGGGTCGGCCCTGTCCTTGTCCCCCGACCCGTACCCGGGAGCCTCTCTCTCTTCCAGGCAGCTTGATGTGGGGACAGCCGCTTCCTGCCAAGGACAGGAGAGGTGTGACCGGGTTCCACTGCGCCTGTCTCGGGCACTCGGCATCCCGGGCAGCTTCCTACCCGTATCTCATTTATTCTCACAACAACTCGAGGAGAGAAGCAGAAGAAGGTGACATTAATACCCACATATGCTGCATGCAAAACTAAAGGGGTGTTGCTCTGCATCCTGCAAGGTGACCTGCCTGCATCAGCCACGAAGCAGGAAATAAGGCTGGATGCAGGTGGCATGGGTGTGCCTCGCTGCGTGGGACAGACGTGCGCCCAGGCGAGGACAAAAGAAGAGAATGCGCGGAGTCTCCGTAAATATAATGCTGTTCCGCCTATGACTGCAGAAAGGGTTTCTCTGCACGTCGGGTTCATGTTCAGCGGTTACAAGGTTCTGATAGTTCAGTTTTATTCTGCTCCAGACACAGCTAACATTCACTGCTGTCACTGAGCAGGGCGTCACATCTTCCTGGAATGGTAGTTTCTAATGGTTTTTTATTATTATTATTTGGCACAAGGTCTTGCTACGCAGCTCAGACTCGTAAGTGATCCTCCTGCCTCAGCCTTCCCAGGATTGCGATTACAGGCATGCGCCACCAGGCCCAGTTTTGGGGTCAGCACAACACACCCGGGGTTTTGGTAGTTTTTTTTTTTTTTTTTTTTTTGGCATAACCGGGGATTGAACTCAGGCCCTTGCGCTTGCCAGGGACGTGCTTATTCTACTGAGCCATCTCCCCGGCCCCACACCTGGGGTTTGGGGACCCACACGGCATGTAGTACTGGGGAGCAAACTCAGGACCTTGCACTTGATAGGCAAGCACTTATGCCACCAAGCTATCTCCCCAGCCCCCCACAGCCACTCCTTTAGACAGGTTCAGCAAAGATTTTCTTTCTTTCTTTTCTTTTTTTTTAGAGCAGAATATATTTATTGGGGGAAGAAAGCTGAACGAGAGAGGGACAGAAGGAGGGCCCAGGCAGGTTGTCCCCCTCAAAGTTGAGAAAGAGGGATCAGGGAGATAGCTTGCCTGGCAAGCGCAAGATCCTGAGTTCAATCTCCGGTACAGCAAAAATAAATAAATAAAATAAAAATAAAAATAAATAAAACAGCAAGATATCATAGTCCTATGATTTGGGGGCTGGGGGATAGCTCGGTGGAGTAAATGCTTACCTGGCAAGTACAAGGTCCTGAGTTTGATCCCTGGTATCACCAAAAAAGTAAACAAAACAAAACAAAAAAAAGACCTGTGGCACCATTTATTAAAAAAAAAAAAAGAAGAAGTTGAGAAAGTTTTTCTTGGAGGCGGGGCTCGCTCAGGCCGCCTTAAGGGCGTGTCTGGAGCGGCTTCGGGAGCTGGGGGTGGAACACCCGCCGTTTCCTGCGCCTGACTGAGTTTGCCCAAGCAAGCGCTAAGTGAGCTAACCGGCAAGGCCTCTAGGTTTTTTTTTATTACTGTTTTTGTATTTTACAACAGGGTCTATGGGGTCTACGGGGTCTTACTACATAGATTGGACTCGTAATTATCTGTCTGTGTTCACCTTCCCAAGAGCTGGGATTACAGGCACTCGCCACCAAGCCTGGTCTCACCGGCTGTCTCAGCACGCCCCGGGGCGGGATCGGCACAGCATGCTGGCCGGGGAACCCCAGCCCCGGCCCCTGTACTCTACCTAAGCAGGCAATTTAATCCGCTGAGCTATGTGGCCAGCCCTGAGCTATTTGGCCAGCCCGAGATATTTTCTGTAAAGGGCCAGATGGTAAACTTTTTTGACTGAAGAACAGAAAATCTCCAGTGCAAATCCTCAACTCTACTATTGTAACGTGAAAGTGGCCAGAGACAGTGTGTAAGTAAATGACTGCTCTAATAGAACTTTATTTGCAAAAGCAGGCAGCAGGCTAGATTTGGCTCTTAGTCTAACTCTTGCTTTGTTTTTAATTAAATTAAATTAATTAATTAATTTGAGATATTGTTAGGATCTGAACGACTCTTGGATGAGTAACATCATTCTCATTGGCGTAAAGCAATGAAAATGAGGGCAATGAACTGTGCAAGAGCGACCGATCCGTTTGCTTCGGGTCACAGCAGGGCCGCACCTTAAGTGCTGTGGCGGAGCGCGCTCCTGGCTGCTGCTGTCACCACCGGCACTGTCACTGCCATCGCGTCTCCATCACCACCACTGCCATCATCCCCCTTGCCCTGGGGCTCACCTGTAACCCAGGTGTACTATGTGCCAGGCCTAGTAAAGGGGGCCCCTCATTCACGCCCCACAGCTGGCCGAGCGCCCATGTCACCCGGGGGCACTGAAACCCAAAGAATTAGGAAACTTACCCGATATCACACAGCTGGCGGGCAAAGAAACCCCGACCGAGTCTGCCCCATCTAGCCCCAGAGGCCTGCTCTCACCACTGCGCCGCACTGTCCCTTGGCCAGCTCCTTGCAGCCCAGTACGTGAAGGCCAGTGCGCATGTGCTGGCGGGAGCCCGAGTTAAGGAACGCTTTCTGTGATTCAGCTTTTTAATGTGCCCTGGGCTCCCAGAGCAATTAATACGCAGATTAGAAGAAAATGATTCCCCGGTGAAGATGGAGCTCCCCTCCAGCCGGATGGCTTCCCTGAGACGATCTGGGCCACAGCGAGGAGCATGAACCCCGAATGCAGAGGGGGGGATCGGCGTTAGGCGCTGGAGCCCATTTGGGCTGTGGAGAGGGAAGGGCTCGGTGCACACCAGAGGCGCCACGAGCCCGTGCAGAGGCTCTGTCACAAGGCCTGGGGAGCGGGCAGCACGTGCCAGGCCGGGAAGGTGACTCCAAGGACGGGCAATTTATTTCTTATTTCTGTTCCCTACATGAGGGCTCAAGCTACGCTCACTTTATGTATCTACATAATTTAATTACATGATGAATATCCCAGAGAGGCATACCACTTCCTCTCACCCAGAGGGCTGGTAATAGACACCATGTTGCTGGGCAGAGCAGAGAACAGTGCAGCTCACCGGGGCCGAGGGTGGCAACGTGTCTCAAAAGTACAGACGCCTTTGCGCTAGCAACAGCGCTACGAGGGATACGCTGTGAGGAAACTGCTGGGCAAGGCACTGGTGCTGTCAACATCAATATCTAATATTTTGCACAGCAAATATTAGAGAACACCAGTAGGTCCAGGGTTAGCCTACAGTTGAACAATATGGTGGCTCCACACCCGGCACAGAACGCTCCAAAGCTGGAAGACAGAGTGAGCAAGCTCCTCACAGTCTGCTCTTTGAGAGATGGCCAGATGGCACTTTGCGGAGCATGGTGGCCCACACCTGTCACCCCGCCGCTCTGGGAGGCTGAGGCAGGAGGACCACAAGGCCTGGCCCAGCTTGAGCGACCTGCCAGGTAGATTACAGATGCGGGCTTATCATCGCTGGGAGCACTGTGTTCCAGCAGAGCAGAGGCTTGCGGCCCACCCCAGAGGTTACAGTCATAGGGTAGGATGTGCATTATTACGTAGCCTTTTCCATAAAAATGTGGGGAAAGGATATATACTGGTACTGGTTCTGGGAACACACGCGAGTGATTCCTCAAGCTATATACTTTTTATATTGTTTTTGAGTGATTTATTTAGATGTATTTCCTATTCCAAAAAACAAACTAAAAAAAAAAAAATGGGGGTCTGTTATTGTTTGTGTCTAGTTGTTCCTCCAAAGCCTCATGTAGTCATGGGGCAGGGACTTCTAGAGTTTGAGATTAAGTCAAGATCCACTGGAATTATGGGTTTTAGTACTGCTGGGATTATGGGTGTGAGTACTTCCCCAGCCCGGGGCGGAGAGCCTGAATGCAATTTAAGAGAAACAGACTTCCTCTCTGTCGCCACTGTTGCTGCTCCTCCTCCACTTTGTTCTCTGCTCTTTTCTGCCGCCATGAAAGGTTGCTCTCTGCCATGTGCTGCTCTGCCTTGGAGCCAGCTGAGCATGGACTGAAACCTCCAGTGCCTGTGAGCTACATAAACCTTATTTCCCTCATTTTGGGTGTCGGGTATTTTGTCCCAGCAACAAGAGAAGAATAACTGAGACAGGGTCTAAAAGCTGATTTAATATTTTGAGGAACTGCAGATTGAACCCAGGGTCTTTTTTGCACTGAGCTCCACCTTTGCCCTTTTGTTTTTTGGAGGATTTTTGTAATCAAATAAGGTTTATGGCACCATGTAATTTCAGCAAATTTTCAAAATACACACACGCTGCATATTTTGTGCGGACCCTATGTTTGCGAACAGGAAGCATGTTGGAGTGGGCGCCGAGATAATGAAGGATTTCTCCTAGGCAGGGCTGAATCCTTAGTCTTCTGCTTCTGAACTACATCGGAAGTGTGGTGAGGGACCCCAAGAGTCCCAAGGAGGAAGTGTGTGAACATTTTTTTTTTAACTTTTGGCACCAAGGATTTGAACTCAGGACCTCGCATTTGCTAGGCAAGTGCTTGTGCCACTGAGCTATACTCCTGGCCCCCAAAGAGGAGGTGCCTTCGCTGAAGGACCGCTATCCACTCCTCGCCTTTTTCCTGCCCCCCCAGCCCCTGCAGCTTGATACCCTCCCCGCTTCTACTTGGCCCACCATTTTAAATTTTTTTATTCTGAGACAGGGTCTCTCTAAATCACTAAGTTGTTCAGTTCAAGTTGTCCTCAAAGTTGGATCCTTCTGCCTCAGTTTCCTAACACTCTGATTTTTTTTTTTTTTTCCTACAGGGAATCAAACTCAGGGACCCTGCACTTAGCAGGCAGCCTCTGTGCCAGGAGCTAAGTCCCTGGCACTGATCTAAGGTTTTAAAAATGTGATACGATGAGAAACGCCTCAGACTCTGCTGGCCAAGGCCCAGGAGGGCAGGCCGCCTGTCAGAGAGCTAGAACCGCAGCCACGAATTCAGAAGCCCAGAGCTTGCCTGAAAGGGCACACAGTATTTTCAGAGGACAAAATGCCTTCCTCTAAGAGATCAATCCGCAATGTGTGAGAGAGAAGATTGAAACCCTGACAAAACAGTGTTTCTCGGAAATGTTAAGAACAGTTTCTTAGCTAAGAGAATGGCCCGTGGGTGACCTGCTCATTTACTTCAGGGCAAAGATTTTATAAAATGGCTAGAGAAGATAAGAGGGGGAAGAGGAAGAGAGCTGAAGGGAAGGCAAGCCCTGGCCGTCTTCCAGAGAGGCCCTTTGGAAATGGAGGTTCTGGCTGGGGTGGGAAACACTTGCTCTGAGAACCAGCCACCACGGCTTCCTGCTGAGGCTTCCAGGGGTGGCAGCCTTGGGATTTCCTATCTTCAACCACAACACTGCTGTCTCAGAGAAATAAAGCAATTTGCCCACAGTCACAAACAAGAAAGAGAAAGACTTGGGTTAGAACCAGTCGTCATTCCTAAGTAATATAGTATAACAACTGTTCTTAATATTTACACTACATTCATTCAGTCCTGCGAGGAAAGTGTAGGGTACATGCAAACATCATACCAAATTAGATAAGGGACAAGAGGGTCCTTGGGGTCTGGGTTTGCAGGAAGGTCCTGGAACCAATCCCCTGCAGCTACCAGAGCACAACTATCCAGCTTCTCCTCTTTTTTGTTACTAGAGGTGGAACCCAGGGGCTTCACACTGAATGACACTCCCTAGTGGTGTTTTGTATTTCAGTGTGAAACAGGGTCTCTGCAAGCCACTAAACTGCCCAGGCTGGGCTCGGAATCGCAATACTCCTGCCTCAGCCTCCAGAGTTGCTGGGGTTCTAAGCACGTGCATCCTGCTTAACCAATTGTGTTTATCTCCCTGCCACAGACCCCTTTTGAGGGCACTTTTAAAAAACATCTAAAAACAACAGAAATCTGCAGGACAATTCCAGAGTCCTGGCATCACAAAGCAGTCTCCTCCTTTGGCCTTGGACCTCCACCTGGGATCTGGGTCTTTAAGTTACATTTCGCCTTCTGAAAGCCTGAAACAATATTCCTGTCACTCTTCCTCTGCATTTTCTGTGTAACTCGAAATCCCAGGGCCCAGTTCACTGCCAAATTACCTGCGATAAACAAGGCATGCTCAGATCCTCTTTTTCTTTGCAAATCCAAACAGCAGCTGGCAGCCAGAAATGGTTATTTATAACCTGCACACCGTTACTCACACTCGCGTGGCTCAGAAACGCTTAGGCAAGGGCTCCCTGGCTGGCTCCATAATTAGACGAGAGCCAGGGGACTGTGCTTTGCAGGGGCGAAGGGGGCTGGCGCCAGGTCGGCCCGCCCGGCTCAGCCGCGCATGCGTGGAGGCCTACGGGTCTAGACTTCGCCTAGGTCCATCTGGGTTAAGAAGACTGTGAAGCGCTTAGGGCGCAGGGTGCGGGCACTTAAGAGCTCCTGCCCCCACATGGGCTGACTGCTCATGGAGTCAGCGAGTTCTGCAAGGCTGGCTCTCGGACCCATGCCCCAGCCACCTAACAGGCGTTCAGGCCCTCATTTTGTTCAGCCTTTTCCATGGCAGAAAAGAAAACCTCATCACTCGCTTGCTTGCTTATCTCTGTGGCCCGTTGCTTACCTCTAGAGACCCCAAACCCTTGGCCCGAACTCGGCAGTCTGCGCCATCCAGCCCGGCCTCTTGGGGCTCCCCTCGTCCCAAGATCACACATCTGCAGGCTTCCTGGCTCCCTGGCTCTGAGCTCTGGCCTCCTTTCGCTCTTTCTGGGGCGCTCCCGATCTCGGTCCTACTAGGGTTCCTCCTGATCAAGCAGATCTGAGTTCAGGGGAGCTACCTCCTCCAGTCTGCTGTACCTCAGTTAAGGGTCTGATCCTTTCCTATGAATGTCTGTCTCGCCCACAAACCCCAGGCCTATGAAATCAGAGGCTGCAGGATGGCTTTTATTATTATTAAATTTTAAAAAATCTTTTGTTTGGTATAGGATCTCACTATGCAGCTTAGACTTGTAGCAATCCTCCTGTCTCAGCCTTCCCAGTGCTGGCATTATAACACAGGTGTATGTCACCATGCCCGGTTTGCGGCCGGCACAGCATGCAGTACTGGGGATCAAACCTGGGTCCTTGTGCTCGCCAGCCAGGTGCTTAGACCGCCAAGCTATCACCCCAACAACAAGATGGCTTTACGATCACTCAGTTCCCCAAACCTGGAACTGGGCCTCACCTAGAAATATCAGCAGATATTTCTGGAATTGACCAAAGCGAATGACTACTGAATTTCCGAACAGATGCCGACGGAAGAGGGGAGGCGTGACTGCAAGCAGCAGCACGGACTTCGCCTCCTCTTGCAATGTGCTTTCCTTACCCTTTCTTTCCCTTGCTCTTTGGAGCTGGTGCAACAAAATATGACATAGTAACTTGGATACTCCATTGGAGATAATTGAAAAATATTGATTTCTTTCCGTTTGAAATAGTAAAGATAAGTAAATGCCACACTTTGGTAATCTAATCAGTGGCTTATGTGACAACACACTTTCGAGGCCGAAATGGATTTCGGTCCAGCCCTGCATCCATCACACAAGCCCCTTAACCTGCTCCCACTCCTTCCCAGGCCCTGCTGCTCGCAGGAAAGGCGGAGAATTCCGCATTTGTGCGCGTGTGTGCAGGTCCACATGAATGTGTCACTGCAGGATTTGCATCCCCAAAACGATCTGCCAAATTGCCCTGAAAACTATGGGAAATGGTGTGCGAGATCCTTCAGGATCCTAAGGAACGGGCATGTACCTTCCCCACACAGCTTATTTTTACTAAGCGCGTGCTGAGGGCCAGTCTCTACTTGGCTTTCACAGCAGCCCCGACACAGCTCTACTTCACAGCTGCGGAGGCTCAGACTGTGAGATGGACGACGTGATGTCCCCAGGGTCACGCGGTAGGATGCAAGTCCGGACCCGCACTCCTCAGTCCCAGTCCACACCTTGGACCCACTTCCAGTCCTCCTTGGAGGCAGGTGGTGGGCTGCTGAGCAGTGGTATGAAGAGAGGACAGGAGAGCCTCATCCTTCATCCTGGTTTTCCCTGGCCTCCTTCTGCACATTTAAAATTAAATCTTTATGGGGCCGGGGAGATGGCTCAGTGGAATAAGTGCTTCCCTGGCAAGCGCAAGGGCCTGAGTTCAATCCCTGGTTCCGCAAAAAAATAATCAAATAAATAAAAAATACAATTAAATCTTTTTTTTTCCCCCTTCAGTACTGGGGGTTGAACCCAACACTTTCACAACTATCCCCAGCCTTTTTTTTTTTTTTTTTTTTGAGGCCAGAGTTTGCTGTATGCCCCAGCTGTGCCCTAACAAGCGGTGCTGAGAGTGCTGAGGGTTGCAGGTGTGTACCACCACACCTGATCCAAAATGAAATCTTGGCCATGCGGGCCTCAGCGCTTGAGACTGGGTGTGGTGACAGGAGCCTATAATCCCACTCTTGGGAGGCTGTGAACAGGTGGATCGCTACGAGTCTGATCCAGTGGTGAGATCCTGAACACCCTGTAGACCCTTCTCAACCGCATAGTGAGACTGTATCTCAAAAAGATGAAATGAAATCTTGTCTCCAAGGTGGTGAGAGAACACGGAGACCTGGGGAGAAGAGGGAGGGAGCACTGCACTGGAACAGATCGAGGTATGGCTCCCCCGTATCTGGGCTACCCAACAGCCCACGCACAACGGCCCAAGCCTTGGCCTTCAGCAATCACAGCTCCCTGAGGATGAACAAGTGCACAGACGCTTGTCTGGAGTCTATGTTAAAAAAAAATTTTTTTTTTTCAGCCAACGATTAAAGCTTGGGAGATTTCACATTTTGAAATCGTCAGTTCTGGATTCTTGTGAAAAATGGAAAGATCCAGAAATGTGGGGCTTCGCTTCCTGCCTGGTGATGCTGTCAGGAGCTAAGGGTGGCAGCCTGCCAGATGGCACGGCGCCCTCCGATTACCACCCCCACTTTTGCTGCCTGTCTCTACCGCCGAGGTCAAGTCCAAAGTACCAGTTTTTCACCAGGTCAGGAAAAGTTCTCCCTGCAGCGAGGACGACGGTGCAGGCCTGTGAATGCAGCAGAGCTCGGTCACCACCAGTACCCTCCTTGTCAGGGCAGCTTGCACCTAGCCGATGTGCAGAGCGGGGCCACTGGGCAAAGCGCATCACACCTGCGGCCCGCAGGAGACAGATCACGCCTGTCTTTTTTATAGCTGATATAGGGGCACCACATGCATCAAACTAGTAGACAGCAGACGTAGCATGAAATTGAACATTCCAGAGCATGTACAGCACTTAGGGGTTGAAAGAAGTCACCAGGAGGGCTGGGGAGATAGCTCGGCAGGGTAAATGCCTTCCTGGTAAGTGGAAGCACCTGGGTTCCATCCCTGATACTGCATGCTGTGCCAGGCCTGGAACCTCAGGCATGCCAGGTGGCCACCAAACCCAGGCACAGTGGCACACGCCTGTGATCCCAGTGCTGGGGAGGCTGAGACAGGATGATCGATGTGGGTCTGAGCTGGGTCGTCAGACTCTGCACCAAATACATGCATACATAGATACATGCATTCATGCACACATGCATACATACATACATACATACATAAAGACTTCTTTAAAAGTCACCATGAGCAACATGATGAAGTCAACCTTGCCCACAGCTGTCATCTGTATTACCTGGACGTGTAGCCCTCTGTGGTTGTGACTCCTGCATGGGATCTGCAGGGCTCTGAGATACCTCCGGGTCCCCAAAATGGGACTCTGGATTAGACCTGTCTCTTCTGGCTCTAACCTTCTGTGATTTTAGGAGTTCATAAAATCTATCTAAATAGTTTGGATCTTCTCTCTGTCTCTGTGTGTGTCTCTCTCTGTCCTTTCTCCCTCCCTCCCTCCCTCCAGAAAGGGTCTATTTCAAGCAGGCCTCGTACTATGTAGTTCAGGCTGGCTTTGAACCCAGTGATCCCATTGTCTCATCCTGCTGGTGCTGGGATTACAGACATGTGCTGCCACGCCCGCTCGGCCTCTGGTTGAGGAACATGTGGTGGCCCTGCAGGTGGGGAGGTGCCTAAAGTGCTCCCATTCCCACCTCACACCTCCGTAACTCAGCTATCCCCAAAGGACACATTACACCAGAAAGTCCCTCAGCCAATGGTGGTCAGGGCAGCAGTGGGCTCCAAAGCGGGGCAGGAAATGGGAGCCAGACTGACCCTCCTGGGACAGGAAGTGGGAGTAGGGAACTGGAAGATCAGCTGAAAAGCAGGGGGACTCTGTGGGGGATACAAAGGCATCTCAGGTGGGATCTGGGCTGAACTATTCCGAAGGACAGTGTCTGGGCAAACCACAGTTCTGCAGGTCTCTAGAAGCGTGGCCTGGAGGCTGGGTCAGAAGCATTTTCTCTGGTTTTTGGAGACGGGCCAGCAACTCACTGGGGGACAAAATGGTGGTCTCCTTCTGGGCTACAGTGTCACCCAGCAAACACCCATGTGCCAGGTCCAGGGCACACAAAGGAACTAGAGTGGAGAAAGGCACGGAGTCCACCAAATATTCGATGCAGTGATGCCTGGGAAGCTGCTTCAGGGGGTTCGTGCTCCAGGCAGTGCCCGCCCCTGCAGTTCAGAGCCTCAAAGGCCACAGCTGGGAGGGAACACAGCCTCCCAGATGGTAAGAAAGGGTCAGAGGATCCCCGAGGTGCCTGCCTTGGACAGGGGCAAAAGCTCCAATGCCTTCAGAGGGCAGCATGCTCAGTGCAGCACACAGGCACTTGGTGGCCAGCACCACCACCAGAGGGGTCACACCATCGGCACAGGTCCAAGACCAGGGCTGGGCGTGGCCCCCAAAGTACCACTTTTATCAAGAGACCGAAAAATCAGGTTTTTATGTGAAGTCATTATTTTGCATATGGAAAAACAAACATTTCTAAAGACCCAACACAGCCAAGGATAAAACCTCTGGGCAGGGGTTGGTTGAGTAGCTAAGGATGAGGCAGGTGGGGGACCCCTTCCCTAGAGGAATTCTGTAATCAAAACTGAGGGATCACAGAGTAATGGCTAAGGCTGCAATGGCCAGGCTGTTTAAAACTCACAGAACAGGGCCAGCGAGATAGCTCAGCGGACTAAAAAGTGCCTGCCGAGGCGAGCGTAAGGACCTCGGTT